TATAAAAATCTAAAAACATCATTTTAATTTCATATCACTATTTTTTATTAATACAGGATATTTGTAAGTTTTAAAAATTATAATGTTGTAAGCAATGTAAGTTTTTCATTAAGTTGCAATTGTGTTTTTATCAATTGTGATAATGCAACTACCATCAAAAGATCTTTTACATTGCTGTTAAACATTTCATCAAATTGATCACTACTCATCTTTGGTACTGAATGTACCATGTCCAAGAGAGCTCGACCAACCTAAAACAATTTAAATTTATAATATTGTTTTCATAATAATAATAAAAAAGTACACTTACTTGATTGTCTGGTGGTTGCTTTCCAGCAAGAACATCATCTACATAATTAAGAACTTGTTCTAGCATCAAGGATAATTTAGAACTAGCTTCTGCAATTTGTGCAAGGTCCATCATTGGCTCTATTCCTCCACCAGCCTTAACACCAGGTACTGGTACATGGGATTGCAATTGTGTCTTTGAACACAATTGCAAGCCAACAATTTCAGGTTCGTAGCATGTAATCTACAAATAAAATAGAAATATTATAAAATAATAATATCTTACAATTTCTTTGAAATATAATGTATTTTAGTTTTATTAACAGCTTTATATTTCTATTGTTACCTGTACTTTTACTGGTGTAAACATTGAACCTTGTTTTCCTTTTGGTACTCCTAATGGGACACATACATAAGCCTTAATTGCCATCCTTGTAGTATTTGTTAAAGTAGTGTCGACTGTTAAATGAACTGGATTATTACATTCTCGTACATAATATTCATGAATAACAGACGAATGAGTAGTAACCTGTAAGAAACATTTTTTTCATTTTTTTTTTTTTAATAACAAACATTTCTTTATAATACCATTTCTCTTTAACACAATTTAAATAAATATATTTTAATGAAAGAAATATTAATAACCTCATTGCCTGTTGCCCACCAACCAACAATATTTTCTTGAGCATTGACCCTGTGATTCAAATCATACAGATCAACACCATATGAAAGATCAGCTTCTACTTGACTTTCAGATTCCTTATGTGGTACACAGAAACAATTAGTTACTTCAACGACTCCCTTTTCCAAAGTTCCTGCAATGATTTACATATAATTCACATACAATATTGATGTATACATAACCTTTACTTTAAGTTTCCACGAGTATGATGACAATTAATTTAATCTACGTCAAAAACAAATCTTACCTAATAATGTACCAATTACACGTAAAGATTCTGCCTTTCGACGTTCATAAGCATCCACTATTTGGAATAAAACTACGGGATGAACTTTTACAGTTAAATTAAGAGCCATTGTTACTTTAATACAAAATTGTCCGGTTTAGAAAGGAAAAGGAACGTCATATGTCTATAGTATATAAATTTCGACCAATCGATTAGAGATATTTCGAGAGAATTGAAATCGATGACATTCGATTTTCAAATTATGAAATTACAAAATAACTAACATAGTACTTGTACCTTTACATATTTTTATTTAAAAATATATAGCTTGTGGCAATAAATTAATCAATTATAAAAAAGATATATATAACCAATTTTTATTAATATACATATATTAGATATCACTTATTATTGTCAATATCATTCGTCAATATTAACAAATAACTTTCTATGAAATTACTAAAAATCTTATTTAGTAACTTCATAGAAATGCTTCTTTTTATCTTTTGGTGGGAATTGTACGAAATTTGCTTTGTGTTTTTGTTTTTTTTTTTCTTTTATGTAGACTAATACCACATTCTTCTTATAAAATAGAATATATCAGAAAATTAAAATATATTTTTATATTGAAAAGTTATAAATATTTGAAATGTATAATATAGAACGAAGTGGGTGTTAGATTTTAGTTTTTAATATTACAGTTGTACATGTAATTTATATGTTTTTAATAAGTGCATTTAAATAACAATATACGTATAATATGGAAACTCCAGATGTATTTCCATTTCCCTTCACACCGTACAAAATACAAGAAGAATTTATGAAGGAATTATATAAATGTATTGAAAATGGTAATCTGGGAATATTTGAAAGTCCAACGGGAACAGGAAAATCATTATCTATCATTTGTGGTGCCTTAAAATGGCTAATAGACCATGAAAAATTGCAGAAAGAAGAACTTAATTCCAAAATTAATGACTTAGATAATAAGATAAAAATGATTGAAGCTACCTCCAATGATTGGTTTTTATGTCAAACCGAGCAAATGGAATTTAATCTTCAAAAAAGAGAACTGCAGTCTAAATTAGATACTATTTCTAAATATGAAAAGAAAATGCAACAATATAAGGAAAGAATTAAAAAGAAGAATACTAAAGAAAAGAAGGCATATGTTAAATTAAAATCCAAGCCTTCTGATACAGAAAAAGATGATAATGTATCAGCAGATCTACAGAATGATGAAATTGATAAAGAGTTATTACTGGTAGATGAATTATCAGATTCAGAAAATTCAGCAGAAGAAGAAGAACAACAAAGTTTCCATACAAAAATTTTTTTTTGTTCAAGAACTCATTCACAACTCTCTCAATTTGTTAAAGAATTAAAGAGAAGTCCTTATTCAGAAAATGTAGCTGTAGTTACATTAGCTTCTAGGTAATTTTTGTATTTAATAATCATCATATTATATAAATTAAAATAAATAATTTAATTTATTTTAGACATAATTATTGTATTAACAAAAATGTAAAGAAATTGAAACATATTAATCTTATCAATGAACGGTGCTTACAATTACAAAGAAAAAAAACTACGTGTAAAGAAGAAAAACATATTAAAAAATTAAAAACAACAAACAGTTGTCCATTTTTACCAGGAAATCATGAATCATTGATGGCTGAATTATTATCGGATATTCATGATATTGAAGAAATTATACAAAAAGGAGAAGAACTTAGTACCTGTGCATATTATACTGTAAGAAGATCTATTCAAGAAGGCCAATTAATATTAGTACCGTACAATTCCATTTTACATAAGAATACAAGGATTAGCTCAGGAATAAATATAAAAGGAAATATTTTAATAATCGATGAAGCTCATAATTTACTTGAAGCTATTGAAAGAATGTACAGTGCTTCAATTACAGGAAGAAATATACTTCATGCTTGTAATCAATTGTCACAGTATCAGAAAAAGTATTACATTTTATATTCTACTTAAATGTATTTTATATAATTGTGAAATTATAATATAATACCATCTTATATATATTATCATTTATGCATTAAAGTGATTTATTTCAGATATCAAGCTTTGTTCAATGCTAAAAACGTACTTCATTTAAATCAATTAAGCTTCTGTTTGAAAAAGTTTTTAACTGTTTTTGAAGCTACAACAAAATCTCTTTTAACTGATAATATCAATGGTGACTTATCATCAAAATTATACACAATACAGGAATTTGAAAGAACAACCGAAATTGATACATTGAATATCTTTGATTTAATCAGTTTTGTGAAAAAATCTAAACTTATTCATAAATTGAGAGGTTTCATAGATCAATATGGTAATGATATTAAAATACAAGAAAGTAACAAGAATAAATCTGGCATTACTCAGTTCTTAAAGTCAATTAGTAATGTTAATAAGGAAGAGAATATGATATCCTCAGAAGTAAGACAAAATGAAGATGAAATAAATAGTCCATTAACATTAATTCTTAGCTTTTTAGAATGTTTGGAAAATAATTGTGCTGATGGGCGTATAATTGTTATACCTGGCCCTACCACTGAACAGGGAATTTTAAAATTCCTTTTATTAAATCCAGCAGCTCACTTTCATGATGTTGGTATGTATATATGGTATATATATTTCTTTTTGTTAACATAAATAATATTAAATCTAATGATATTTTATTTTTTGATAGTAACAGAGGCCAGAGCCATAATATTAACTGGTGGAACCATGGAACCTGTATCTGAATTTACTGAACAATTATTTTTGGCAGCTGGCGTAAAACCGGAACGAATTATAACATTTTCTTGTGATCATGTAATACCTCCAGAAAATATTATATCCAATATCCTTACCTGTGGTCCAACTGGTGAAAAATTCGAATTTAATTTTAAAAATAGACAAAATACAAAACTAGTACGTGTATACTACTATAATAGATTTTACAGGTTATTTGTATTATTTTCTATAAATAGTATTAAAAATTATGATTTTTTAAAATTTGCAGTTAGATGAATTAGGAAGAATGTTGATAAATTTTTGTAATGTTATACCAGCCGGTATTGTCGTATTTTTACCATCTTATGATTATGAAAATATAGTGTATGAACATTTATATAAATCTGGTGTAATAAATAAAATTCGCTTAAAAAAACAGATCTTCCGCGAACCAAAATCAACATCTCAGGTATATGTTTATTAATAGATTTTTTTTAATATATATGTATATATATATATTTTTTTTTTCAGGTTAATGATGTTTTAGAACAATACGCACGAAGCATAAATTTTCCGCAAAATCCACAAAATGGATCATTATTATTTAGCGTTATCGGTAATATAATATACTATATTATGCACAATTAATTGTTATAACATCAACATATAGATATGCAATCTGTATGCATTTTGTTTTAGGTGGCAAACTAAGTGAAGGATTAAATTTTTCTGATGATTTGGGAAGATGTATTATTATTATTGGAATGCCATATCCTAATATTAAATCAATGGAATTACAAGAAAAGATCAAATATTTAAATGAAAATGTTGTATGTATTAATTTTCATTTTAAAGTTAATTTTTAAATATATTTAAATAGAATTTCTAAACACGTTATCATTGCTTAAAAAATATTTTTAAATAGAAATCAGATGCTGGACAGAACTTCTATAATAATTCCTGCATGAAAGCAGTAAATCAATGTATTGGACGAGCTGTACGTCACATCAACGATTATTCAAGTGTAATATTAGTTGATATACGTTACCGGTACAAGATTCAGGCACTACCTCGATGGATTCAGCGCTCATTAACAGTCAGCTATTCATTTGGAAATACAATAGGTGCAGTAGCTAAGTTTTTTGCTGCAAGAAAAAGAAATACTTAGATGTATTATCAGTGTATTGTAATTTATTATACTACATACACGTGAGTATATTTTTTTACCTATTTTAATTTTATTTATTTATTTTTTTGTATGTTATATATTTCCATATCTACATATAATTAGCAAGTTGTATTCCAAACTTATATGTGAGATCATGACAATAAACTTGACCCGGATACAGAATTGCACATGGAAAATGTGCCTGAAAAAAAAAATATTTTTATCATAATAATAAAAATAAAAATAAAAAATGTATTTGTCATTATAGTAAAATTGAGTATAATGTCATCATATAAACATTTACATACATAATTAATAGCATTTGGATAATTCTGAGGTTGAATGCTAAAAGCACAATTCTTTTTATAATGTGCTCCTTTTTTTCCTGTAAGAAACTGAAGTGGTTTTACATCAGGTGTTAACAATTCCTCTTCACTTTCTTTATTTTCTTCATTTGTACTCAAATAATTGATAATATCTTCATCTGCCTTTAATTGTAATATTAAATATCTGTCTTAAATGTTCAATGACATGAAAAAAATTTTTCATTATTCACCTTTTGTTGATGTACGTAATGATCATATGTTACAAATGTAGAAGGAGTAAATTGTTGTAACAAACGCCCACCAGTATAAAATTGAAGACCAGGCTGATTTGAGTAGACTTCTAGAACACTATATGTATACAATAAATATAATATAGTTCTATACTTTATAAATACAATTTGTTTACCGTCCGGATTTCATATGTAATGCCCGAGCAACGAATGAACTATCAGATTGCCAATTTTTTGTTACACAAAAGTTGTGATCAAAACCTTCTCCTGGAGGAACCTACAGTATAATGAAATACTACTATGTATAGGCTCTTTAGTTTTTGTTTAATTTATATTCTTGTATTTCTAAATATAATTTTATAGTTATAATAAATTTTCTATCATTTTTTGTTATTTGTTTTTGCTATTATTTAAATATGTTTATATGTATAATTTCATATATAATATAATACTTTCTCCATATATTCTCCCAAAAGTCTTGGTATACGAAGATCCATAATTGTTCCACCTACTCCTCTGATAGCTCCTGTTGGTATAGAATCTGAGTAATCTGAAAAAGTCCAGCGATCACAGTTCAACAATATTTTATGTTTTCTTAATTCTACTTCACCAGCATCCTATAAAATATATATTTTACATTTAATAATACATACATATGATAATTATATATATTACTTACATGTCCAGCAAGATTAAACAAAGAACCATGTGACATATTTATTATAGTTGATTTAGATGTTGTTGCACGCATATGTATTTCCAATTTATTATCAGGTGTTAATTTGAATCTGACTGTAGCTAAAACTGCACCTGGATATCCTTCTTCTCCATCTTCGCTTAAATAACTCATAACAACAGAACAGTCATCAATATGTGAGTTCCAAATTTGTCGACCAAATCCATTTGTCTAAAATGAATTCTAGACGCATTTCTTATCATCTTTATTATTTCTTAATAGAAATATAAAAACTTATAACTTTTTACCCCTCCATGTAAATGATGGTTATTATCATTCTTAGTTAATTCATAATCTTTATCTTTAATACTAAAACAACCATTTCTAATACGATTTGCACATCTGCCTAATACACATCCGATAAATGGATTAAGTACAGGATTCATGTAACCTGAAAATTATATTTCTTTAGAATATGAATAAAATGAATATATAAAATAGAAAGATAATATAAGAATAATAAAACATATTTTTATCTTAGGTATTGTACTTTTTAAATCATCAAAACCAAGAACAATATCTGTACTATGACCAAATTTATCAGGACATTTGAGAGATACAATAGATGCACCCCATGTGATAACAGTAACTTCCATTCGATTATTATTTATCATGGTATAAGATTTAACAATTATAGGCTTTAATTCATTTAAACCTTCATTACTATCTTCGATTAGAGATTCAAAAGATTCTTGATTATATTTCAAATCCTCTCCTTTGTAACATGATAAATCTATACCAACCAATATACGTACATAAATGTATAAATGTATATAATATTTGTATATTTATTCTTTTAAGATTCATAAAATATACCAGGATAAATTTCTCCAAATATTCCTTCTATAATAATAACATTTTTACATCCGCAGCCATAAGAATCCATGATATTTTTTAAATTTAATGTTTATTTTGAATATTATTTAACTGTCGTTTTATTGTTAAAATTAGAAATATGATTTATTAGTTTAAAAAAATTTTTAATATCACTTTATTATATTAACAGTAAATAAACTAAAAATTTGTTTTACTTATTGAAATTTTATAAATAAAATACAAGTTGACAGTAGAATATCGTTGACTTGCACAATCGCAAACGGTGATAAATACGTTTTATTCTTTAATGAATATAATACACTGTAGCAAGCATTGTACATTCTTGCGGTTGAAAAAATCCAAAATTACTGACGTAGAGTAAATATCTTTGGTTCGATTTTTTTCTAACATTCTCAATAAAAAAAAAGGATAACAGAAGCTAAGAATTCAATAACCTTTTCGTCGTTATTTAAAATCATTTATTATAATGATAATAATTAATAATTAATAATAGTAATAATGATAATAATAATAATAATGATGATAATAATAATAATAATAATAATACGTTGCGTATAATATACGCTTGATGTTATCATAATAATAATTACTATTATAATGTATATAGTCCGATTATTATTTATAATTTATATAACTAATATTTATAGAATAATGTACAATACTTGAAAAAATACATGAGTTTTTACTGCGTACATGTCATATTGAAAATTGTTCTTTCACTTTTTGTATTCTATTATATCTCAAGCATTTTTATATGAGCAATTGGGAGTAAGAAATTATTTTTCATTTGCTAATGTAAAATTAGTGTCAAATTAAATCTTTCGTGTCCACCAAAAAAAAGAAACAAAAAAAAAAAGGAAAAAAAAGGAAAAGAAAAAAGAAAAAAAAAGAAAAGAATAAGAAAAAGCTTAAATTGCAATGTCCAATATCATATCTGAAATCTTTTTTATTGTAATAATTATTTTAAACTTCTTTTATCATCATGTTGTTCTTTTGTGGATATCTCTTAATATTCAAAGATCCACTTTTGCGTTACTTTTATTTAAGGCGCACACCAAAGCAATCATTTGTTGCTTAAAATACACGTGGAACACATTGCACTCAGCTGCTTAATAATATACTCTTATGACTATCGAGTAGTTTAAATAATTCTCATATTTATACGGAATCATGAGTTATTTTTTCTTCTCTCATTCTTTTATAAGCTTGCCCATAATAAAAACAAGAAATTGAATAATAATGCAATTCTATGAAAATGATCTATATATATGTATATTTGAAGAACTGTGATATCTCCCCGTCATAATAAAATTATGTATATATATATATATATATATATATATATATATATATATATAATATATATATATATATATATATATTAAGTAAAACTATATTATCCAACTACAGACAAGTACACGTACAAACATGAGGGGAACTATCACAGTACAAATATTCAATCAGACATTTCATTTACAATTAATTTCTTGGTCATGAATGTTATTGTACAAATTATTATATTGCAAGCAACACATGCAAGTTTGAATGTGAGTTATATCATTATCATATTTACAATCTAATTTTATTTTATAAGAGATAGGTTCAGTATGTGTGTGTGTGTATGTGTGTATGTGTATGATTTGGTCATATTACATTTAAGAATATGAGAGAGAATTAAAATATAAATCGCACAATTCTATTTATGCAAACAATTTTTATGTGCATCATATAGCATTTGAACAATTCGTCAAATATATTAATACTGTTAAATAAAAAAAAAAGTTTTTATAACCGATAAATGTTTTTTTTTGTGTGTAATTACTTTAAACATACCATTGAATATGTTATGTTATCGCATCTGATAGAATACAAAATCTGATTTTTCTTCTATATAATTTAATCTAAACAAGTCATAATATATAAAAAATAAATATAGCTTAGACTAGCACAGGTGGCGATTTTACGCCGTTATACAATTCATACATTGATAGCTGCCGAACATTATCTTATAGAATTAAATTATCGTAACTATTAACAGTTATTGATATTAGCATTCTAAAATTTTGTTAAATGTTTCTCGATTATTTTGGAAGCATTTTGAATTTTTGTGTCACTTACATTAAATATGTGATACTAGCACCGCAAAATGTCTTTGTATGGCACAGAAAGGTATACCCATTATAAATTATTCAGTTTGATATTATTATGTGATATAACCAATTTATCTAAATCTTTTTCTATATTACATAATATATATGTGTATATATATATATACATATATATATACATATATATATATATATATATATATATATATATATATATATATATATATATAATGTAAGATCTCTCAAATGATTTATTTTATGTAATAATGTGTCACTTTTCTGTACTTAACAAAGATTGAAATGCATACTGAACTTCCATAAATCTTTTCTCAACAAAGATCTCACTAGTGAAATGTCATATTAGCATTTTAAATCAAATCAATTCGGATACATTTTATAGATAATATACCACTGGTATTAGTATAATAGATCAAAGAGATCTATTGGTAAAACTATACTATTACTACAAATTTAACAATTTAAAAACATTCCCTTGTAAAAAATGATGCTTTAGAAGCACTTTCCTTTTTATTTTATTCCTACTGTATTTTATGTACATTGCAGTATATCCTACAATACTGATCTTTTATCAATCAGGAAAGTATCATGTCTATCCAATTATACCTTTTTAAAAGAAAATTCACATATATTTTTCATACTGATGTGATTTCATGTATAATTGTAGAAATAAAGATATTACTTTTGATTTGTATAAAACATAGTATAAAATATACATAAAATATAGATAGATTTTGATTGATTTTTAATGTAAAATTAAAATCATATGTTAATTATTACCTGTCATTAAGATTTGTAGTACTCATATTACATATATGTAAGAGAATTTTGCACTATATGAGTGCATACTACCAACTGTCTCCTATGTTTATACTTTCATACTTTAATTTTCATGTAGCAACTTTGCCTTACATGTGAGGGATGAATACTGATCTAATCCAACTCACTATGCGTACCATACAGTAATTTCAGGCACTACTTATTAATAATAAATTAACAATACATATCCTTAAAATGTTTAGTTAGTTCTTTTAGTAGTCAATAAGTATATTAAGTGAATGACACATTCACTATTACCTTTCACACTTTTCGATTTTAATATATATCAAATTGAAAGTATATCTTATTTAATGAGTGCATTGTATTTTGTATGCACATTTGTATTACTATTGGCTTTCATATCTCCAAGGTGTATGTAGTACATTCTTTGATATAATTCTATATGCGCCTAAGAGATATGTATTATACAAATTGTACAAGGAATGTAGGCATAGTTGATCTAATATAAAGTGATAATTATCAATTAGTGCTTATTTGTATGTACAATATTGATTATTTATATGAGGTGTTTAAATTCTAAAGTCGCTTATAAACAGATTGTACCCTATACAACTGTATCATTTGTAGAGTACTATGCATTTTAACTAATACGATCTACAGGCACACTAACCAGTTCAATGCATGCTGTGTTACATAAAAAAAGAAGTACTCTGACAAGTGTCTCAGCTGGGTACACAATTTATCTTCAATGATAATTTATAAGTACATACAAATTCTTACTATACAACTTTTTATTATATATGTACCTATTATCTAGTATTATATATCTAATATCTTTCAATTTGTATGAGTATGCATATTCATTGTGTCGTATTTAACTTTATATGGGAAGATAATAAAATAATATTAAAAATCGCGGCGAAATACGTCATTTAATAACATTGTGTATCTTTACGGCTCATCATTATTATGTAAAAAAATCTTAGGTGTCATATAATTCAATGCCTACTATAATTCAAAATAAATACTAGAAAGGAAGTAGAATTATTATAAATGATATTATGTGTAATTAAAAATTACTGATGAATAACTGTGTCACAAATAATTGTAAAAAATAATATTCATATATCTTATGTAAATTTCATTGGAATGTTATTACTACAATACTGAATATTACTGCAACACACACATATATTTATATGTATATAATCGTGTTAATTAGAAAAAAAATATAGTTATTTGTTTATTAATTAAAAGAATATATAAAAATCTAACAAACATTTTTTATACAATTTTATTTTTATGTGAACATAAATTGTAATATAATAATATGTATATTACTATTTGTTCTCATTTTTTTGATCAGCATTGATAAGACATATACATATATATATATACATATATATGGAATGCATATATAAAGATATTACAAATAATATATGAAACTGTTGCTTTAAACCATATTATATAAATGTAATTGTATGATGGTCATTTGAATATATATATATAAATATATATATATATATTATTTTTATAAATTATTGTATAATGTAAATTTTAGTGTAAGAGACACAATGATTCTTTGTTCATTATAAATAGACTAATATCTTATTAGAATCTCCTTGATTATCTCAACTAACAAGTTAACTGGAATGTAAAATATGTAATTCTTAGTGTACAAGATTTTTTGCAATTATTGTTATATTAAAACATTTTAGAGGAGGCAGTGTTTTAATGACGTAGATCGTAATATATCGCACTTATAACATCCCCATTATAGTATTTCGCCGCATCCCATTAATTTTTCAGTTATTCAAAACACATCGTATGACATTCTCAAAATTAATAGATTATAAAGGCTATTAAGTCTTGCTATCTTCCCATTATTTTAAATAAGCCAGTGCTATGATAAAAATTCTCTTTCTAATTCAGAGATACTTGGTTTTCTATTTCTATTCGGACGTCGGTTGGCTTGTAAAGGTACCGTTGCATCTTGCGTTTGTCCATGAACAGGAATATCTAATAAGGTTTCTCTATGATCGCGTGAAATTCCATCTCGATCAAATGTTACAGGAGAAAATCGAACTCTACTTATAGAAATTTGACTATCTTTTGCAGAAACATAACTCGAATCTTCCGATGTTAGTGAATCTGGTGGTGTAGGATTCGTGGGGGTACAAGACCCAGAATTATTTTTACTTGTACCTTTATTTGGGGAATTATAAGAATAATTAGATCGTTTCAAACTTGAACGTAATCGAGTCACTACCTCAAGATTACTTGGACGTTCTCCAGAATTCGAATTTGATTCGTGAGAATTTTGACGTGATAAAAATGTCGAACCATATTCATGATTAAGGATACCAGAATTATATAATGCTATATTTGAGATAATGTTGGATGATCGTGGATAATAGGAACCTGCTGGATATAAAGAGTAATTTTCTTCATCCTCTAAACGAAATGTTGGATTAATGTTACTCTGACTTGATGTACTTGCGTTGGAAACGTTCGACGGGGTACGATGATGTGTGTACGAAGGAAGTCTTGATGCAGGTCGAGCAGTACTGTTTATACTACTCGGATTGTCATATGCATGTGGAAATTCAGGACAATCTAACATTCGGTCACTATAAAAAAAAAGTAAATAAATAAATAAATATTTCATTTCCTTGTTTTTTTTCAGAAGAATATATTTTGAAATAGTGTTGAATACTTACTGATAATCCGGGTGTACAAAATAAGATGTATCAGGCGGGTTGCGTCTTACCGATGAAACAACTGCATAGACTGGTGGTCCATAGTCAGGAAATGATGCAACATTTCCCAAGTAAATTGTAGGTCCCCTTTCTATACGTTCAACTCTACCCGTATCAGATGGGTATGTATCTTCATTACTTGTACTACTACTTTTTCTACGTGGGCTTGGTGTTGGGGCATTAGAACCTGAACTACTGACATAATGTTGTGGTGAATCTGTAAACCGTAATGGTTTATCTGGTATGACACTAGGTGGAAGACCCGGGGCTATACCACCCATATTACTCAAAAATGGCCTGTAACAAAGAGTATTATTTAATAAAAGTAAATTTCTTATTGAAAAATTCATTATATTGATATACATTATTAAAGTTTTGAAGTTTACACTCAGACCATAGAGGTGTACCTATAATGACGGGCTGGTCCATGATAAGTATTATGAGGATAACCACTGCTCGAACTAAACTCATAGTCAGGACCAAGATAACCAGAATTACGATTTGATCCAGTTTCTGGATGAAACCACCATCTTGGTAGATCATCTTCGCATTCATTTAATCGTGGATGTAGTCTTGGATGAATTGGAGATATGTTTGACATTCGCACATCATACCCTGTTGCCACACCAGCCAACATGGCTGCGATATTGTATAATACCAGCTCAATTATGCTTAACTTTGGTTTTTTCATTTCACCATTGTAAAGAGTAGGCATAGGAACAGGCATTGGCATGATGTAAGGACCAGTCAATCCAGGTGTTAAAGGATAATCCGGTGTTACCCAGTCGGTTGAGAGATCAGATGGTAATGCTGTATAATCTATAAAAAACAATCACATTTCCATAATAATAAATATATTGTCCATCTTAATGTTTATTGATATCATTGTAATATTATGTAATATTTTTTGCTACTTAATTTAAAATAAGTTTGTATATATCAAATGAAATTGATTATTCATAATAATTTCATTACAATGGTTATTGAACAAGCACTTTTCAAATGCGTCTGTGTGCCTTACCTTTATGAAGTATCTAATATAAAATTTGTTTACTCCAGTAGTAATTTTTACCTTCAAAGACTTTTATTAATTAATAAAAAAGAAGTATATATAAGAAAAACGTACATAAGCGTAAAGTATGACATGCATGCTATTGCACTTGAAAAATATTATATATATATTCTTTTTTTTTGTTAGAAACTCTACAAGTTGATAATTTTATTAAAATATGTTGGATTTGGTTAGGTAATTACAAAGGTATTAATAATGTTACTTAAGTTAAAAGTATCTAAGATATTATAATTGATTAAAATATTTAATTGGTGATCCTTACTTGTTGACAAAATTAGATTAACAAAGAAAACTTATTGCAAAGCAGGCAGTATTTAAGATGTAAGTGTAAGATATCTTTGATTTGTTGTTTAATTGTTGTTGATATTTTTATGATGAATACATTGATATAAAATGTGATACAATGTATTCATCTTAGACATACACTGTATAGGCGAAAGCATTGCTTCAATATATTTCATATATTGTGTGCAAAAGTTGCATCTTAATTTTACGCGTTAAATGAAATATTTAAAAAAATTAAAAAGATATTATTAATAATTTATTTTAAATATATATCTATTCTTACTTTAGCATTTATATATACTTTGGTTTAATATACACATTTTAGCTTATACATCGAATAAATAAAAAAATAATATATGTTCAACATGCACGATGATGCAACAAATGCAGATATTTTAATAAATGCAAGTGCAATATAGGTCTATGTAAGCGGATGTGTATAGATGCATAAACCTAATATAGTCATTTGTATTTGTAATTTTTAATTACAAGCATATCTTTAATTAATTATAATTTAGATATATTCTAAAAATTTATAATTCATTTGATTTGTTAGAAATAACAGTCCTTTCTGTGCTTTTTATATTATTCTGTAAATTATAGAATACAGAATGTAATAGAATGAAGTGGAATACTTGCTTCACAGAGTCAGTCCATGTTCAGGATAGAAAAGGACCAAACCCAATTGGAGTTAATTAGGATTCTACTGGAAGCATGCAGGGAACTTTTTTACGCTCGGTTATTGCTATGTACCCATAATATTTAAGATTGAATATAATAAAAGTAGGTAATGTTTTTTTTTTAGATTCAATAATGTATAGCATACGTTTATACTTTATCAATAATAAAGATTTTATATATATGTAAATGTATTAAAAATGTAATGCAAGCATTTAAATATATTAGAGACATATATAACTACAATATTGTTACTTACAATAGACATCTTAACAAATTACTTAATTTACTGATCCTATTAAAAGAAAAAAAAAAAAAAAAAAAAAAAAAAAAAAAAAAAAAAAAAAAAAAAAAAAAAGAAATGAAAAAATAAAAATGAAATCACAGGACCGAGCGTAAAAACCCGAGAGAAAAACGAAAAAACAAAATTCAATGTGTCCAACTGAAAAGGTTTTATTGAAAAAATTTCTATGTCTAAATACAAGTGTGTGCTTGTGGTCCATATATAATATGTGATGTGTGCAAATTCGTTTTTTTTTAGAGATATTCGGAGTTTACTGTAATACTAAAACAAATCGCTGAAAGTTATACTAACAAGTAAACAATGTGCAATCAATTTAAATGCACATAAGGCAATAAAAATAGCATAACTACTTTAATTATGAACAGTATTTCATATGTAAATCTTCTAATTCTGATTTAAGCTTCATTGTTATGACTATACAGACACAACTTAATAACGCTCTAACACAGGAATACTATTAGAGTAAAACTGCTGTAATGGCAGAAGCGCATAGTTCTTTTCACATAGTAGTAGATTGTTAGCTCTGCTTGTTAGAATGTTATATACTCCAAATAATATAAGAAAAGAACCAACACCAGAAAGGCTGCAATTTTTTTTTCTTTGAGCTTCTTTTTTTCCCATCAGCTTACATTAAGGCAATAAATAATTTATAGATTATTCCAGGGTACCAAACACAAGACTGCAATTCTTGGCAGTCACGTGTAAAAATAATCCTAACACAATGAAATATTTGACTTTCTTGTAAATAAATCAGCCTATATTGACATCAACTTGTAATATTCTTTATAAAATACTTAAATTTATGTCTGGTCCCTCACCAAAGTTTATAAAGATCACTTTTTTCAAAACTTGTAATAGTACATATTGTACTAAGTGATTTATTTTAATCGTTTTATTCTTAAAAAGGCAGAGCTCCGTTATCAAATAAAATAGCACAACTTTTTATTAAATATCTGAAAATAGCTTACATAAATTACGAGATATATATATCTAGGAGCATTGTTGTTGAATGAGCAGTAGACAATGACAAGAATCATTGATTGGTGTATTCATGCATTACGTTTATATGATCAAGTTTAAGCACAATCTACGTAATACAACTTAGCAAGATAAAAGTATTTTGTTATGAAAGTAAAAACACATTCTCTACTTGAGATCGTTGTTTCACTACATTACATAAAACTTTGTGGAAAGAAAATAGAAAAAAAAAAAGGAGAAAAAAAGGAAAAAATCTTTTACATGAAAATCTATATAATTCTTGCAATATTATGAGAAAACTTACGAGTGGGATAAATGCTTTCCTCAGAAAGGCCTGTGATAAACAGAAGATATGCTTGTTATAATAAAAAATAATTCAAGATATATAGCAACTGAAGAAATTAGCTCATAAATCGATTTCTGAGTTTTAAATTCTAATATTAAAAGTTAAGTTCAAAATATAATTGATTGTTGTTTACACAATCAGTTATAAAAAAAAAATATATATATATATATATTTAATAAAAATCTTTTATATAAATCTTTATATTGTTTGTTCGAAAAAACTTTTTCGTTGCAACACTCTTAGAGGGTATAGGATCAAGAGGCATCAAGTTCTTCAGAACTTCCTGAAAACACCTGATAAAATGTTCTTTGAACTACCATCAGGATGTGAATGTTCACAAGTTTGAAGACAAGAACAATTAGGTGAAGCAAAAGTGACACTGTTAATATCATCTTTCACAGGACTATATAAACATTCATTACTTTTGGACTTTTGATTGAGTAAGGAATTCGGATCAAAGCTATGATCAAAAGATTGATCAGATTGATTCGACGATGTGTCTAATGTACTTACAACATTGTCAAGTGACATTGGAGGCCTATTGGATTTGCTCTCTTGAAAATACCTTAATGAATTTTTCGACCTAGAACTATCGTTTGAATGTTCCGAATCAAAATTACAAAGTTCTGATTCTAAACTCTCAAAATCTATACCTTCGCGAGAATTTGCAGCTAAGAATTTAGGTACATTATTTTGATCAGAATCACGGCGACTAAATTGTGGAAAGGATATAATATTTTCCAAAACACTATATTCAACTTTAATAGCAGTTGATTTGTCATCGAGTGCATCACGACTACCCCATGCTTTTACTTTATTAAACACTCTTAAAGGACTTCTGGAGACGCGTGATTTATGATGTGATTTTTTACCTATAGAATTTTCTGGACTTGATTCTAAACCATCTGTATCGTTAATCTTGATAGTAACAGAATTTTTTCTTTCCATGCTACGTGGAGAATTTAATGAACTTTTTCTCGAACCAGAAGGGGAACGAAAAAAGTCGGCTAACGATGCTAATCGTGATTCTGAGCTATCCCTACGCTTCGATTCTTTTGATTTGCTTCTGTCACGTTTTTTATTCTTTACTCGTTTTGCAGTACCTACCAAAGTAGATGCTACACTATGAACAAAATTTGTAGAATAAGAATGCTCTCCTTCACCCATTGCATATTTTGGAGACTTAGATGACATTGTTTTTAGAACACTTCCACCCGTGGGCATAATCTTCGTATAATTATCTAAAATTATTGAGTGCTCTTCTGAAAAGTGAGTCTTTAAATTGTTTTGTGATTTGTGCTGTATAACCATTGTTTCATATATATCATTATCCAGCATACAAAAATCCTCCCCTACATTATAATGTGCCGTACCTGTGCTCTGCATAACATTATCGGAATTTTTGGAAATATCACTATAACTGCATCCTGGCTGATTGTTTGCTATTAAATTATTTGCTGAGGAGTACAATTTTCTGGAGGAGGGGTTACCTATTTCTTGCAGAAGCGGGGAACGATGTGCGCTTGCCAGCAAAGCTGTACGCAGTGGAGTCTTTTCAAGATCTGGCGCAGAACGAGACCACCGTTTGCCACCGGGCGATGCAGGATTTGGTGGCTGTGTGATTATAGCTCCACGCTCTCGTTGATGAAGAGTCGATGGTCCCCAAGTCTTACCCTTAACTCCATCTGCTGGTACTATAGATGGAAGACAAAAAACAAAACGCTACTCTACTAATACTAGCTACACATTTTCCTATCCTTTTCTTTTATTACATTTATCATTTTTATTCTTGCACATTATTCATTATTTTAAGAAACTTCGTGAATGTAATTATTTCGTAATTATGTGTTCATGAAAAACGATAGAAACTAATGTTTCTTGTAAATAGAAGAAAAATAGAGGAACTACTAATAATAATTTACATAAATACTTTTTTTGCTCACACCATGCTAGACAAGAAAATATAAAATAAGTATAAATATATCTACAAAGCGCAAACATTGGAAACATCTAATATGTTTAAGAAATTATTATCATATATAATGAAAACACATTTGTATAATTTGAAAACAAAATAACATGAATAATACTATAACTTTAAAAAGTAAGAAAAAAAATGTTAACTCACATGCGATTGCACGTAGTCTTGGAATACTAGGTGAACCTGGTGGACTGTTTGGTTTTGATGGATTTCTACCTTTTCCTCTGTCTAAGGCCGTATGCTGAACAGTTATAGTATGACGGAAATCTAAACAACAAGTATATCATATTTTTTAGAATTATGGAAACGATATGATTAAAGCAAGAAATAAGTAAAAGGATTACCTGAAGGAGCACTAATATTACTTCCTGGTTCTTTTTTATTCAGTTTTAACCTCGACTTTTTAAATTTACCACGCCTTTTATTAGGCGTGGGTGTATTTTGTTGTTGAATTATCATTACTGTCAATTCACGTTCTAATAAATCTATTTCACGAGCCGCTAACTCTTGTTCTCGTTGCCGCAAGTTTTCTTCGTGTTGTCGTTGTTGCACTTGTGCTTTTGTCAATTCCTCTTCTCTACAGCGCAATTCCTAAGAAATAAAAAATAAAATAATTCTATAAAAAGATCATACATCGTTGCGCTTCAACATATCTGTGCTATTGGAAATAACTTAAAATTCGTCTTATTATACGCATCGTTGTTAAGAGCTCGTATCTTACCTCTTCGAGAGAACGGCATGCCTTTGTATAGCATTTAAAATAATAATTAAATATTATTTTTATTATTATAAATAAATTTTAATTCGATTCCGATAGTAAAAAAAAAATAATAATCTTGCTTTTTATGTAGTGTTTTATTTATACTACGTTACTATCGGAATATTATCTACAAATGTAATATATTTATTACCTTCTCTTTCATGCGCAATCCATGAAGAACTTGCTCAATTTCAAGCCTCCAATCTTCTTGCATTGTATGAAATGATTCGTGTGGTGTTGCTGCAAATGCACTACGTACTTCATCTAATGCCAATAAAATTTCCACAAAGCCAGGTCTGCAATGACTGTCTGATGACCAGCAAGCTTTATCACAATTATCAATATTAATATTCATAATGTTGAATAAAAGATGTCAATAAAATAAACTTAATTTTTTTATTTATACCTTCCATGAGGCACCTCCATGGTTGAGGACAAGTTGATGGGATTGGAAGTGTCAATTTATTGACTGCAACACCATATGCTACAGCTAATGCATCTATACCTTTATAGGGTGTTTCACCAGTTAACAATTCCCATAAAAGTACACCATAACTGTAAATAGCAATTAATACTAATTTTTTTAATTGAAACTAAATCAAGATCAAAGCGAAAATAAATAAATTTAAAACTGACCTCCAAACATCACTAGCTTTACTAAAAGTACTTTTTTTTATAACTTCAGGAGCCATCCAGGCATACGTTCCTGCAGCTGACATACGTGTGGTTTTATAAACTTCTCTTGCCAATCCAAAATCTGTTATTTTTAGTGTTTTATATTGAAGATCATCATTTTCTATAGGTTCACTTAGTAACACTATATAATAAAAATGTATTACAAGTTAAAATTAATTCACTTTTAATAGTTCAGTTTAACAATAATTAATATAAAAAAATATGTATGTAACATAACATATCCTACCATTAGAACTCTTTAGGTCTCTATGAATAAGACTGACAGGTGCCTTATTATGAAGATAATCCATACCACGTGCAATTTGAATTGCCCAATCTACAAGAACGTCTGGTCTGATTTTTCTACCACTAAGAACTCTATTTAAACTACCCCCACGAGCGTATTCCATGACAAGACACATGTTTGGCATTTTCAAGCAAACACCTTCTAATTGCACAATATTTTCATGTTTTAATAACCAAAATAATTTTGCTTCTTGTCTGACATTTTCTAATATTACACTAGGCTCCTCATCTGGATCCTGACGAGCTGCTTTGACAGCTACTTCATGCTTTTGCCAAAACCCTCTATAATATAATAAGAGAAAAACAAAAATTTATATACATTTGTAATTAATATTGTTTGTAATTAATAATAATTGATGTCTCATACCTATACACTTTACCAAAACCACCAACACCTATAACTTCTTCCAATTGCAATTCTTCAAAATCTATTTCAACCGGTTGAACTTTATCAATCACTGACGATACCCTGTCAATGCTTTCTACCTCGGCAACAAAATTTGCTGGGAAAATACCAACTTTCCCATGAATTTTTCCTGTCCACCATCCCTCGTCACCTGAGATTTTAGAGTCCTTAGACAAAACCTAATACAAGAAATAAAACATTACATTTACATTGAATACCATAAATATTATTATGACGTTTAGATATATTATATACCTCGACAGTTTCACCTCTTTGTAAAGATAACTCATCTTCACCTTGAGCAACATAATCAAATAGTGCAGTGAAAATAGTTGAGCTATTATCTTGTCGTGATCGAGATGACGAATGTGTTCCATGAGATGGACTAGTTTGTTGAGAAACAGTTCTTGCTGTACCACCACTGTGTGTATCAGAAACACTGCTGTCAGACATATTGTTGCTGGACGTACGTCCATACAAATATCCGTAACTAAAAAAAGAAAATCAAACAGCTTTTATATTTAATACCTTACCATAGATTTATCATTGAACTAATACAAAATGATAATTAACCTGGTGGAATGATTGTTCCCTCTGTTTCCAGATTGATATCGTGGAGACAAAGTGGCTGTGCTAGAAGAATGAGAATATGTGGAGCCATTCTCTGGATAAAGTAGAAACCGCTCGCTCCGATGACGAGCATCTGGTTGTCCGTGGTCCATCAAGGTAGACAAGCCCCTTGCCGATAGCCCGGCCGGCGGCATATGGATCAACACTTTCTGTAGTCTTTTTGTCCGTGCAAATCACAGTCTCTTTTTTTTGCACCTCTAAACGATATTTCGTCCCTTTGATTACACATCACACAAAACAAAAAAGAAGTATCTCAAGGTTTTTCCATTGAAATGAAAAGGAAATAGCAAAGTTATTAACGAGTTCTCATTCATTCATTTTTGCATAGTCTTATAAAAATTATCAGACTTTGAAATAGCTTTACTTATGTATCAGGGAACTTTTAGTAATGCGCGTGTAACCGTAATACATAGTTGTGACAGTTGTTAAACGTCATAATAAAGAAATATTAGATGGATAATTTCAGAAAGAACGTACACGTTTCGCGACAATAAGCAGGGTGAAAGAACGTAATCGGTACCGCTACCACCCCGTGGATAAAAACAATTTAGCAGGCACCGGCATTCTGGCTAAGGAATCCAGTAACGGCTCCAGTAAGGGCTATCAAAAAGTGATGTCAATTTTCTTCTTTGTTTCGACGTAACAAGCGGACGATATTTCAAAAAGGATAGAAGAATAAGAAGATGCCTTAAAATCGTTCCTTCGAAGTGTCGCGTCAGGGTGTGTATACCCACAAGCCACTGTTGACGAGAACGATTCCTCTTCGCTTAAAAGTCTTCTCGTTAGTCGACGAGTAAGTCTCCAATGTGTCTTTCAAAGCATCGTGCTCGTCTCCACGAGGACGCGACGCTTCGCGTCAGTCCGCAGGATAAACGATAATTCCACATTTAATATGAGAAAATTGATGAGCACTCATAGCGATAACCTAACGGACGCCATGTTTCGTTTGACGGCCCCACCGTTGACGTCGTGATACGTTCGACCGCGATTCACGGGTGGATATCCGAAAGGCTTTCCAACTTTAATGCAACTGCGATTCTTCGATAGTGTACCACCGATACAGAACAGAGCCTATTCTCAATGCAACGATGACAAATCGAACGGCGGTCACACGAAAACGACGCGTTATCGATAAATTTTTCAAAATGATTTCACACGTGCTTTCATCCCTTCGCTTGACGTCTTCTTCTCGTATTTCATTTTCAACGTAAAAAAAACAAGTTTATGATAAACGATCGTACGATCGTTACGGAGGGTTACATCCACTCTCATACTTCGAACCATGTGGTTTATGATCGCGATCATCTGAGAAATGAAGATGGCTGCGGAGCCACTGAATCGTGTGCGCCAAATCCATTGATTAATAAGAGAAAGACCAAGATGAGATTCGTTGTCACCTTCTCCCTGGCCACGCGTTTTTTCTTGTAGAGAGGATAAGACAAGTATAAAACCGTTGATCGTCAAGTGATGGGAAAATGGTGAGGAAGTGCATTTACTATTGGTATGGGTTCGCAAACGCTGGAAATTTTAAGACAAGGCGTCTGGGCGAGCCTGACAGGAGGCTGGTTTTACGATCCACATCTCGATGTTTTCTCAAATACCTTTCATCTCTATGTCTGGCTGTTTTTGCTTTGTCTTCCATTTACGATATATCTCGTAAGTAGTCATTGTGTATATTGTACATTCTACAATCAATAATCTAAGAATAATATTTAGATTTTTTTTTCTTTTTTTTTTTTCTTTTTTTTTTTTTTCTTTTTTTTTTTTTTTTTTTTATTCCATGTTGAAACTGTAATACGCTATTATTTTATACGATTATATTTACATATTAAATATTTGAAAGAATAAAGATTTTTCGATAAACCTTTCATTAATAATTTTGTATTTTAGTATTTTCCACCAACATTATATGTTTGGTTAGCTTATTGTTCGTCCATTGTTGTATTATTTGGTACAATAAAGTGCATAAATCATGCATTACACTGTGTCTATGATACAACTGAATGTTTGGAAGAACCAGGTCAATCTATTAGTCAACAGAAATCTGAAAGCGAGAAAAGACGTGTGGCACGTAATAAACATAGAGAACAATTACAAGATCAAGTTGAGCATGGTATAGAACTCCAAGTTTTAAATGGTATTTATATAAAAGTTCTTGATTTTTATATTATATAACTGTGTTAGATTAACAAATGAATTTTTATTACAATACAATAGGAATAATGAATATATATGCTTTTTATATTTTATTCTAAAAGCTTTATATTTCATGTCTATTTATTATTTTTTTTTTTTTATCTTCATTTCTATTAACAAAAATATAAAACAGATGAAATCTTTGTTTATAAGTTTATGTCATATCAAAACTTTTGTATATTTGCAATTGAATTTATTGAAAACTATTATTGATCGTACTTATAGGTAAAACTGATACTCCACCTGTGGAATGTTCATCTCGTAACTCTTTTATAGAGTCCAATATACAAAATGCAGATGCCGATAGTATAACATCAGAATATAATAGAGAAAAACCTAGTTCTACTATAGATTTAAAAGTTGAAATACATAGAAAAAATAGCTCAGAAAGTTCAGAAGAAGCACAACAATTAAGCAAACCCATGGTAACGAGTATTAATGTACATGAAGCAGAATTAGTTTCTGCCCAATACCATGAACCACGTTTTAGGAATATAATAAATGGTAATCTACTGATAATAAAATCATTTACAATGACATTTAGAGGTTTGCAAATTATGAAATATAATCTGAGCGTACAATAAAATAGATTAAGGTTGAGATAGAATAAATTAATATTTATGATGATTAATAAAATGGTATTGTGACTTGCAAAATTATATATATTAATTATATCTAGAATGGCGATTAAAACGACAAAAATGTGTGGTGATAGCAGAAGAAGATCGACCAGGTCCACGTAAATTGTGTAGACATGCATCCGAAGATTCTAGAAATCGACACTCGAAACAGGGTAGCCTTGGGAAAACTGGATCTGAGAGCCAAATAAAACAAACTAGTTCCTTAGAATTAGAACATCATGGTGATGATTATGCTTACTGGAAATCGAATCAAAGTGTTCGAAGACTTAATTCAAACTCAATTCCTATGGAAACTCATTTAATAAATGATCATCCACAAAGTCTTGAAATTATATCAAAGAAAGAGGATGCGGACAAAAATAAAATCTCATCACATCCTCAATCATTAGAGGTAATAATTTTTTTTTTTTTTTTCTCTTTTATAATTTGTATGTACGTTTATTATTCTATACAAGCATATATATAAGACAACTTATATTCTATATATTTTTCACGTTATATATATACATGTTTTTTTATTTTATGTTTTTTCATTTTTTAATACCATTCCATTTCAATTATTAGGTGATTACTAAAAAGCCACATCAGCAACTTATTCATCCACAAAGTCTTGAAACTATTGGTGCAACTAACAAAAATGTAAATATTACAGATGATAATAATCTACCTTTACATCCACAAAGTCTTGAAACAATTAATACTAAAAAGGTACATTAGATATAAAAATTTAAATGCAGTTACTTTATATGAATATTTCTTAGTATTAGTAATCTCTTATTCGTTTTATAAAGGTTTTACCTCAGAATACCTTAACAAGAAATCAATTACAATTATTACCATATCTTAGCTATGGATCTGAAATAGTTCATCCAATAGCAGAACAAAGTGATGAACAATTTGCTAATGAAAGTTCTGGGGGTTTCAGTCTTGGAGATTCATATAGTCCATTATTAACTAGAAAAACAACGAATGACAACACTACTACTTCTAATCGTGACAGAAGTCTTAGTACTAGTAGATTTGATGATAGATTTTCAAGGTAATTGTTTAATAATTAAATAATGAAATTGAAGTTGTGTGTCATAATATTATGAGAATATAAAATTGTTTTCAGATTTAATGGTGATACTGTAGTTGACAATGATTCTGCAAACTCTCGTGATGCACTTCTTGAAGAGCCAAAATCTAATATTAAAAGAAGATACAGTAATGCAAGTCAAAGCAGTCATGAATATTCTGATGGAGAGAGACATAAAGATAAACGACATGATAAAACGAAAAATATAGAAGATCCTCTAAACTCGGGCAGTGTTGTTGGAATAGATTGGTTATTTGAAAGTAGTGATTGCCCGATTGAACCATGGACAAGTAAAAGTAAGTATAATTGATGATACTTTCGTTTAAAAAGGATTGTCAAGGGTTAGTGCTTCTTAATTTTATGTGTTGCATTATTACCTTTTTTTAATTTGTGCTGCCAGTATTTTGGACTTTTACTCGATCTGATGATACGGATACATCAGAAAGTCTACAGACAGCTAGTACTGATTGTAAGTTTGTGGTATTCTAAATTTAGTATATGCAAATTCAAACCGATTACATGTAAATTTAGAACAAAATAGAATAGTCGTATAAATCATCGATCGATCAAATTTTTTTATTTTCTGAATGTTGAATAGAATGAAGAAATTAAAAAACTTTTTTGTTTTTTACAGATCTCCATGCAAAAGAACCAGATTCAGGTTCATCTAGTACAACAACTTTAAGCATAGAAAATGAAGTAAAACGAAAATTACTTCCACAATTGGAAATAGATAATAAACGTCATCAAGGTGCCATTCCAAAGCAAAGCCGTCCGAAACCTACGCAAGAAACAACAGATGACAACATTTCTTGCATTGAACAAATCAGACCAAAACCGAAACGAACAATGGAAATTCGCAAAGAAAAAGATAGAAGAGAAACAAAATTTGAGCAAACAACTGGTTCAAATAATGAGTTGAGCACGCTATTACCTAGTCCTGCACCTCCATTATTGGCTGCATTATTAAATTCTGGCAGAGATTTGTCTGCTCAGTCCAGTACTGTATCTGATCTCAGACCTAATCGTAACTCTGAAACTAGAAATTCTCGAGCAAGGCAGAGTCGCTTAAAACGTTCGAATAGAACTCATAGAGGGCCAAGGCCTACTAGAGATGATAATGTTGTACCATTGACTGCTCTGTTTGGTTTAATATCTAATGGAGAATGTCATTTAGCAACTAATCATAATGACACGTCTGAAGGGGCTGTGCATTATTTCCGAGATGATAATGGAGGATGGTTGGCATATACTTTCGATGAAAAAGGTTCTGGTCTTGCTACAGCAACACAAATTCCTTCAAGTAATAATGAAAAATTATTGAATACTTTATTGCGTCAACAACTTAATCAAAATTTACATTATGATGCAAATTGGGAATTAACAGATTCATTAAGCAATAGTTATAGCAGTTTATCTTTAAATTCTGCTGGTTTGACAGTTATCATAGATACACCACCTGTTTTATCAAGTCCAGCGAGCAATCAGACCAAAACACAAAATTCATTGCCATCAAATTTAATTTCTTCAAATGCTGGAAGCTCA